TTTTTTTTTATACATTTGACATTTAAAGACAATCTTAAGCAAAGTAAAGAAACAAAATATTTCTTTTGAAGCCCTAAAGTCAATATTTATTTTTGTACCAATCTTACATTATGTCGACATTTTTAAGACATTCTTTATACAACTAGATGCATTGAATTAGATTAGAATATCTTGAAAAAAATTTAAAAAATTGCATTATATTTCTTATCTTTATAATAAGATATTTCAATCTATTTTCGCATTGCCTTGAGTCTAAGACTTCTTCTACCTCACACTCTTGATTATTATCTACTTCTATAGGAAGCGGTGGCATTTGTCTTTTTTTCAAGATATTCTTTGTCTTATAAGGCTTAAAAAAAATACATAGAATACATAATAGATCTTTATAAAATTGAGTAAATATAATCAATAAGTAATTGAATTCATTTATTTATTAGAAAGAAATAGTGCAGGCTTACAACTATCCAACTTGTCTCAAGTGCAATTAATCTTAATATTGCCACAAAATAATCATATTTTGTCACCAATATGGAATTGAGTTAGTTCCTAGCGTCAAACATCCGTTTTGGTCTCTTCATAATTTATATATATATGTGTGTGTGTGTGTGTGTGTGTGTGTGTGAATAATTATCTTTATAATTAGATTAAAATAGGTAAAAATAAATTAATTTCATAATATCTTCTAAAAAAGCTTCTTAAAAGCTTCATAGATGCTGCTTTGACTTTACACATGTTTGTAGTTAATTGATAGGTTAGAAACTTGATCAACAAGTTAGTCATGTGTCACATATATTGGTAGCTTGTGGAAGAAGCTAATTATATAGAGTATATAAAGAAAACTTGTCTTACAAGTTAAGACATGTCTTTAACAAAGTCAACATGTATTAGAGGTCCTTCAAAACATTGCTTTATAGCTCTTAGTTAGATAGTATATATAGAGAGACAAGAATGAAGCCTTTTTTACTCTTATCAATTCTTTTCTTGCTTCTACTCAAGTTTCAAGAGTCTCTACATTTCTAGTCTTCAGTAATAGCCATTTCAGTTTCTTTTTGAATATATATATTTTTTTACTATCATTTTGTTATCTCTCTTTGATACTTATCTCATTTACTTATATATCTTCTTTTAGATTCTTATCTTTGATGCAAATCAATGATATTATAACATAGATCTCAATTTGATTAAATTATATATATTTATATAATTTTTTAATATTCTAATTTTATAAATATATATGATGTTTATAGTGTTATTAAATTTATATATCAATAAGATTGCTTAAAATCTAATTAATGATTTTTAGGACTTAGTATTAAATTAAAATAGAGCTTTTGAGTTATTTAATCAAATTAAGATGTTTTTTAATCAAATTAAGATGTATTTTTAATGACTAAATATATAATTATATATTTAATTCAATTTCAATAGATTTCTATTAAATCAATTGTTCTAATTTGTCACTTTTTTAAAAAATTACTTTTAAATGCATGGCCAAACATAAAAAAATATATTAAAAAAAATTATAATAATAATTTCTTATATAATTTTTTAATAAGATTTGGTATGCAAAGTTTTTAATTAATAGAAATAATAGAAATAATTTTAAAAAATTTAAAAATGGCTTCAAGCTACTTATGAATCTTTATTTATCACATAAAAAAAATTACACCTACAACAAAAAAGAATGCAAATTTTGATAACGATGTCAATGGAACTTAGTAGAATTTAGAGAGAGACTAAGACTGTTCTTCCAGGAGATGAAATAAGCAAAAGGCAGATTAATAACAACCAAATCACAAGAAATTAGCAAAAAAACAAGAATTGTTTGAATAATGTGACCACTTTTGAAGTCAGAGAATAGGAAACAAAACCCGTGTGTGTGTGTGTTTTTTTCTTCTTTTCTTTCTTTTTTTTCTTTTTTTTTTTCTTTTCATGTTGGAAATGTATACAGGAAGAATACAGTGGATGGCATGCTTACTCCATTGCTTACCCAGATGGGGTTTGCAAGGCTATCATAGGCTCCATAGCAAATAGGGCAACACACAACATTTGAAACAGGGGGAATGAACAGGAAGGAAGGAGATATAAGTTAGTGGATCAAATAGCAGCGACTTAGCTGAGACTAGTAGGAATAGAAATAGGTATGAGAGGAATAGGTGTGGGCTTTGTGAGGGGGGTGGGGGAGGCCTCCAATGAATGGCTGACCTCTTCCGCACATCCTGCCATGTCACCACTTGCCCCCCCCCCCCAGCCACGTGGATGACGTGGCATCCCCCCCCACCGCATGTTGCTGAATTGCCCACTTCCCTATTGACCTTTTCACAGCGTCTTCGACATTTCTTTCGCTCTTTCTGAGTGATGAGCTGGCATGCATCGGAGTTGAGAAGCTTCTGGATTCCGGAGGAACTTGAGAAATTGTGCTGAATTCTCTGGATTTTAACTTGGTATATATATATATATATACATCTGTATGCGTGCGTGTGTCTTTGTGTTGGTAAGATTTACTTTTATTTATTTATTTATTTATTTATATTGATATTTGCTGTTATACTGATATATTGAAAAACAACAATGCTTTCACCATATTTTGTTACGGTCAAATCCATGAAACTTAACTCTGTAAATATTCTTCAAGTCCACATTGTATGATGCTTTTGACCTTCCATTGGAACAATGATCTTCTGTCCACTGTATCAGTGATGATTCCATTCGTATAATTTAAAGCTTACCACCTGTTTTACAACATATAGTAAAATTACATCAAAATGGTAAAGTTCCTTGTTTAATATATCATAACAAAAGTTCTTGTATGGAGGCTATATGGTTACAGTATATGGTTATCCATGAATTAAAAATCCCACATTAAATATATATATATATATATATATATGCATACAAATACAAAAAAAAATGTTTATCATTGAGTTTCCATTCCTGAACAAAGATGGTGGCAGTGATACTTCCAAAGAAGTGAACACACATGCAGTATATTACAGCATCTTATTAGCAAACTACTAGTGACAATTAAGAGAGAAAATTAAAAGAAAATTCATCCTTTACCCAACATTTGATGATGCACACTGGTTATTTATTTATTTTTAATACCATAGAGAGGAGGTGCAAGGCATGTTGAGGGTGATGTCACTGATGTGTGTGAGATGAGTGTGAACAAGTGTGGTTCACATGTAGAACTGGGGAACCTACTACTACAAATTCTGCATGGAAACAGTCCTGTCCACTGAACCCACACTGGATTCCATTCCTCCCTCCTCTAGATATTTCTTATCTCACAGACCCTGTGAACATAGGGATTGTAACTTGCTTTCTGAAATTGGAGGATGTGTTTTTCACACTTTGGTGGGAACTATATTTTGGGATCTTCATTGTGAATGCACTCCCATTTCATTAAATACAACACAATTTTTTTTTTTTTTTTTTTTTTTTTTTTTCCAAAAGACAATACATATACATACACACAAACACACCTATATATATATATATATATGTATTAGTGCATATAGATGCATTAATATTGACATTTCTATTGATCTGAGATTACACTGTGTTATTTGATTTTTAAATTTTAAAACTGTAGTTTAATTGTTCATATAAATGCAAGGTTGAAGCTGTGTTACACTGTGTTATTTGATTTTTAAATTTTAAAACTGTAGTTTAATTGTTCATATAAATGCAAGGTTGAAGCTGTTTTTAGACATCCTTGTCAACTTCCTTGAGTCATTTAGGTTACAAGACCTCCAAAGTACCTCATGCTTTGAAAATAAACCAGAACATGTATTGATTCTGTAACACATTTTGTTTATATACATACACACACACACACACACACACACATATATATATATATATATATATATACAAACTTTTAATTCATTCATTCAATTTTCCAATTTTCAATAGCATATTGTATTCTGCCTCAGATTTTAAAAGATCTCAAAATTAACTAACTTGTATCTATTTTTGTTGTAAATATTCATTAAAAAAAAATCTCTCTTGAAAAATGTGTTAATTTAGAAACTCTGAATTTAAACTTATTTGGTAAACAAAGTATTGCTTGAAGTATTGACTTGTTTACCTTGAATGTTCATACATGTAAGTCAACTTTTTTGAGGTAGAAATAAGTTATTACTTGAATGATTACAGTCTAAACTTCATCAACTGTAAAGAATGCACATAATTTTCGTATCTACAGTACTTTCATAAAATGCAATACATGAGAGAATTTTTCTCACAGGTGATGTACAGGGTAGTTATATATATACATATACATATATACATATGAATTATACATTTATAAAAAATCGCACTGCAGAGGTTGAATGAATTTTCTCATTTAAAACATGTCTATCTTGCAATTTTCAAAATCATAAATACCACAGCCATAGTTAAATCGAATCTTTTCCCCACATTTTTCTGTAGTTTTCCTATCAGAATTGTATGTATATATACATAAATATAAGTTTTTTTCAAAAGGAAAAACAAAGGACCAAAAGGCATGAAGCAACTATAGATGCCAACCAATCCACAAAATTCCCCAAAACGCATGCACATGGTACAGATATCTGAAATAATAAAAGAAAAGATCCGCATTCAATTTGCCAGGTCAACAGGGAGAGAGCAAAGATGCCTTCTGAACTGCTTCAAAAGTAAACTCTAGTGGCGTAAGAAAAAGAAAAAGAAAGAAAAACGGAAAGATAGAGAGGGAGCGAGGAATGAATGAGAGCGGGGGCAAGGAATCGCGGGCGCGGGAGGGGGGGGACCCGGGCCAAAAGAAAGCCTGCCCCGCGCAGGGCAATAGTGTAGATGCTGCCTATGGAGATCACGACAATCCCGGCTCTCGCACGCCACGCACCGCTACGCCCTGGGGCACCACGACCACAACCAAGACCCTATGTAAGGAATGAATGAATGAATGAATGAATGAACATATGGGAAGGTATTCCCTTCCCTTCCAACTTCTCTTTCTTTCCTTTGAATGGGGATTGTGCGGTGACCATGACGTCGGCAACGGGGTCCGATCTCGGGGTGGGTGCTCTCGCTGTCCTCCGGGGCCTCCACTCCGCCTCACCCTCCCGCCGTCTCGTCCCGTTCTCCCCCTCCCTCCCGTCCCCTCGCAGTTCCTCGTCCCCTTTCCCGTTCCTGTTCCCTTGCTGCAACTCGTAGTGGTACCGCTACTGGTACTGCCCTGCCTCCCTACCCCTCCTCCTCCTTCGCCTGGGTGCGCTGGTTGCTCTTGCAAGCTTGCTTGCGAGCAGGTGTCCTTGGGTGTCAGCGTTTATCGCAGTATCAGCAGCAGGCTGCTCTCGTTGGAGTGATCGGGCTTCTTCTTCTTCTTCCACTCTGCCTGTAATTTTCAGTTGTAGTGAAAGAGAGAGTGAGAGTGAGTGTGTGTGAGTGTGTGTGTGTGTGCTCCGCACCCTCGCGTCGCGTCGTGTCGTACCGTATCGCATCCATTGCTGTGTGCTTGGCGCCCCACGCGCAGGGCAGGGCAAGGCCAGGCGAGGCAAGGCGAGGCCGCGGCGCGACGCGTCCCATTGCCGTGAGACAGCACCCCACAACCAAGCAAGTAAGCAAGGGAGGGAGGAAGGGAGGGAGGGAGGCACACCGTGTGTGGGCTTGCGTTGGTCATCTCTTCCCTCTTCCTCTTCCTCCTTTGGGAACTTCCACCTCGTGCCTTGCAATTGGTTGCTTCTTTGCCAGGGTTTGATCCCCGTGTTCGCTGAGTGTGGTGAGGTGGTTTGCTTTGTGTGAGTGAGTTTGTAGTGTCTCTGGGTTGGGTTTGGGTTTGTTTGCGTTGGGGGTGAGACAGGTTTTTGGTTGAAGATAGAGTGGACAAGTTTGAGTTGGGTGCGGAGAGTGAGAGCGAGAGAGTGAGAGTGTGTGTGGGACAGAAGGAGTGAGTGGGGGAAGTTGCGATGGATCATCTGGACATTCCCGGCATGCACGACCACGACCGGTACGAACTCGTGAAGGACATTGGGTCGGGCAATTTTGGGGTCGCCAGGCTCATGCGTGACAAGAAGACGCGAGAGCTCGTTGCGGTGAAGTACATCGAGCGTGGGGAGAAGGTACGTGAGGTTGCTTTGGTGGTTTTTGATTTTTTGCAAGTTTTTCCTATTTTGGGTGAGTGTATATGTGTTTTGTTTCTGCTCTCTCCGTTGTTTGATTTGGGAGGCGATATGACGAGGTAGTGGGAATGGTGATTTTGGGGATACGTGCGTTGCATGCATTTAGGCTATAGCGAGATTATATCTTGGGATTCTACGTGAGTACTGGTAGTAGCGGGAGGTTTTGAGTGGACAGAAGTTAGCTAATGTGAAATTGTTTGAATTGTTGCAGATTGACGAGAATGTTCAGCGGGAGATTATTAATCATCGGTCGTTGCGGCATCCCAACATAGTGCGGTTCAAGGAGGTGATTTTTCTAGGCGGTTGTTTTTGCTTTCACGGGTTTGAGAACTTTGGATATATGAATGTATCGATTGGATTGGTAATACTGGAATTTTTTGAACATTTTGGAGTACTAAATCTTGTACTTCAACTACCTCAGGTTCTGTTGACACCAACTCATTTAGCCATCGTGATGGAGTATGCTGCTGGTGGAGAACTGTTCGAGCGAATTTGTAATGCAGGTCGGTTCAGTGAAGATGAGGTGAGTACTTAAGTGCTGTGCGTGTAAGTTTCTGCTCTGCGCATTTTTTTTTATATTTATTTATTTATCTTCTCATCGTTAACTTTTGTTTCTATTCTTAATGAAAGGTTTATCTTCTTTTTCCTCTGTTATAGGCCAGATTTTTCTTTCAGCAGCTTATTTCTGGAGTGAGCTACTGCCACTCCATGGTAATGTTTCTGAACCTTGAATCTTGTGTGTTGTTTCAATTTTGAGATTGGATTTTTTGAGTTGTGATTAGTTTTCCCTCCTGCCTGATCCCGAATGTGCCGGTTCAATTGCAGCAAATTTGCCATCGTGATTTGAAATTGGAAAACACTTTGTTGGATGGAAGTCCTGCGCCTAGGCTGAAAATCTGTGATTTTGGGTATTCAAAGGTGAGATTTACTCGTTTCTTGTCGTTTCATTGCGTTGAAGCAGCTCGAGGAAGTGGATAGGTTTACCATTGCTGAGGCTATAACACATGTTTCACTGGTCCTTTTAAATCTTACAGTTTTTTTATTAATTGTTTTTTGACGGGTTTCTGTTGATTGCAGTCGTCTTTGTTGCACTCGCAACCCAAGTCGACCGTGGGAACACCTGCCTACATTGCTCCAGAGGTCCTGTCGAAGAAAGAGTACGATGGCAAGGTATGCTGCTCAGACGAGGATTCGTTTTTGTGAGGTGATTGGATTTCTGGTATCTCTGCGGAGCTCAGTGTACTATCGAAATTTTTTAGGGCATGTGGCATCAAGTTATCAGGGAACTGAGATATGCCTACTTCTTGTGAATCGCAGATTGCCGATGTGTGGTCGTGTGGAGTGACCTTGTACGTGATGTTAGTGGGGGCATATCCGTTTGAGGATCCCGATGACCCAAGGAATTTCAGGAAAACCATTGGGGTGAGTTCATGTAAATTTTAATTGTAAAGTTTTGTATTGCACAACACTACCAATCCTGTTGTCGATTTTAATGAATGGTTGCTTACGGAATGATGAAGCTGTTGTTGCCTTGGTTTGCAGCGTATCTTGAGCGTGCAGTACTCCATCCCCGACTATGTGCACATTTCCGTGGAGTGCAGGCATTTGCTGTCTAGGATATTTGTTGCTAACCCAGCCAAGGTACATCTAGACAATTGAGATCGCAGTAAACTGTGCATCTCGAGCCTTTTTATTTTTAAAGTATAATATGTATATTTTTGATTTGTTGAATAAAGTTACTATTGGCTTTAATGCAATATGGAACTGGAGAGTTCGTATTATGTCGTGGCGAAAAATACTAATTTTAGGGTCGTTTGTGTGCAGAGAATCAACATCCAAGAAATTAAGAACCACGAGTGGTTTTTGAAAAATTTACCTGCAGACTTAGTAGACCTGGCTGATAGGAGTTACGACTTTGAGGACCCGAATCATCCCCCACAGAGCATCGAAGAGATCATGCGCATCATTGGCGAAGCTAGAGAGCCAGGAGCAGGTGCACCAGGAAATTATTTTGGTGATCCGTTAGATGACATGGATGTGGAGAACGATGTGGACCCCGATATCGATAGCAGTGGGGAGTTCGTATGTGCAATGTAGGGTAGCAGTTAGAGCGACGGGGCAGGTTGTCATCTAAAATTGGGTTAGATATTAGGAGGTTAAATGATGGTGTATTCAAGATTGGACGGTGTAGTTAAATGAAGTGAGTTTCCTTTGCGTTTTCACTTCCATCTGTGGATAGTTTTACTGCACCAACTCTTTGAGATTCCAGGGAAGTATTTCTGAGGACCAAATGATGGTCACTGTGTTCTTCGAGTTAACTCCAAGAATGATTCAATGTTGAAGATGCAGTGTACAAGCATCTATTTGAAGATGACTTTCTTGGTTGACGAAGTTGCTGTTGGGTGGAGATCATCTAGCGCTTTTGAATTTTCAAGAAGTCCAGGCTCCACTTGTGGTTTTGGAGAAGCTTGTGTACGTGTGAGGTAGAAGGGTGATTTGGCCAGATGCGGTTAAGGGTGTTACACTGGTAGTATAGAAACTTTTTAAATTCCGGTTACCTCCAGCAGTCTCTTTGTTCTATAGTTTTGTTGAGTTAGTTTAGGAAGAGCCGGGTGTTTTTTGGACAGCCCCATATAATATAAATTATTGGCTCAGGTTAACTGAGTTAACCTTCTAGCACAACTCTTTTTTTATTATTGGTTGGGAGTTATGTAGATTGGGAGTTGGGATTTTGCTGCGGCGAGTTGGAGGCGTTTATGTTGACAAACTTGGATCTGGAAATACGGTGTGCAGCATGAGTTTCATTGTATGTAAGCAACTGGTTCTCGTGACATGGCTGCCCCACGAGGGATGGTAGATTGTGGTGCAGAGAAGTTGACGAGAAGCTTTGACTTTGACCGGACTGGTGAGTTAGGATTTCAATGCCGTTTCCAATTTTTACAAGATAATCAGACTCATACCTGCGGAAGGATGGCTTGGAAGTCGAAACGAAGCTCACAGGTGACGTCACCCTCATCCTCGACTTTCATGTTAAATTTCCAAAGAACACGCTGGGTACATAAAAGTTGGGACATCTCAACATCTCTCGTGGTCCGGCAAGATCTTGGGCATCCCCTGGCAGCCAGTATTTTAAATAGTACTAGAGTCTTTCATACTGGATTTGCGGAAGTCATGCGTCCTTCACATTCAAACGTGTGGGCTACACTAGACCTGAGATTTCCATGGCATACCAGACAACAATTGATAAGAAGGATAGAGCAGACAAACACTGAGTACTATATCTTGGTCCAATATCCACTCTGTACATTACCTTTGATGTTAACAGACACTAATACGCCTGATGAATAATACAGTTGACGCCTCCGTAAGTGCTAGTACGTAATGATAGTCAATGTGAATGAATCATGTAAAGTTGCCGATTATCAGGTATTCGTCAGCTACGAGAAACTGCAACTGAAGATCCAAGGTATTGACCCCACCTTTCCAGTATGCACTTGTTCTCTAAGCTTTATCGCTTCAAGCTCTTATAATCTGGAATCTGAAAGGGTTTCTGCGGGAGATTCTATTGCTCCATCGTCAAAATTGGGGTTCTCTTCTGTTTTGAGGGTCGGAATTGTGAACATGAGGTTATCTTTCCAAAACAATAAAAAGTAGTAGATGAAGGAAACGGAGCTGCTAGAAGGTTTTGCACGTTTTGGGAAAATAAGCACATGTAATCTTTGGGGGCATCTAACTTATAAGAGATAGAAATTGATTCTTTCAATGTGATTTTTGGCAATAAAATATAAGCATGATATTATGTAGTACACATGGGTGGTGAGAATGGAACAGGAACACGAATTCTTGAATTGTTCACAGCGCTTTCTTCACTTCGATCTAACATGTTTAGAGCATAACATTGGTGTCACTATGCTCAGATGGATAGAACTATTTGATTTTCTAGAATGACTTTCTTCACTCAAACTTCATTGTTTTTCGCTTCCTAATGTACCTAAAATATCAAAATTCATGAAGATTGGAGGTTGCTTTTCTATATCTTCAATTGACCTGATGTTGCTTCATGTCAGTTGATCTAACTATGGGTAAATATTGCATTCAAAGTACATACATTTCACTTCTGATACCAACTAATAAGACTTGTCTTGAAATTAGTTAATTGATAAATAAATCAAAATAAGATCATTATTATATTTTTTTCTTAATAAAATTTTCTTAAGAGTTATATGCCTTGTGTTTGTTAATATTAATATTATTCAGATTCTGTTCTCTATATTTTGTTTGCATACAAGTTCAACTTTTAAATTAATGTTAATAAATGTAACATATTTTTACTTTATGTGATATAATAATAACAATAATAAAAATAATAGACATTTTCTTATTTGTAGAATTTGAATAAAATCATTGTTTGAGATAATTATATTTAAAACTATTTTGTAAACTCTTCTTTTCATTTCTATAATGTTGTGTATTATTAATATATATCCAATCTTCATGACTTTTGACATTAATATATATATATATATATATATATATTTATGTATATTAATACAAGGAAGTCTTATAAGCAATGCAAAATAAAAGTCTATATATATATATATATATATATATATATATTGGAAGGATTGATTGATTAAATTACTTGACTTCTTAAAATAATTTTTTGTGGACTTTGTGTTATTATTGTTTGATAGTAACAAAATCACGATGTTGTATTATTAAATTGCTGTTCGTAAAGATTAAAATGTATATTTCATAATAAAAATAAATTATATACATTTATATATATATATATATATTAAAAAAATCATATCTTTACAAAATTTAAATTATGTCTTTTTATTTTAATTTTTTGCTAAAAAATTCATTGAAAGTAAATGAAGAAAGAAATATTCTAAACTATATAAGGCTTATAGATTTTGATTTTTAAATTTTTTTATATTAATATGAAATACATTTTGATGATCTTATTTAACAACATGTTTGGTCCACTTTAAGTAATGTATACATCCTTAATAAGTGATTTGATCTACATTGCACTTTTTTCTTTTTTTTGGAATAGATTTCTTCTTTATGATTTACTATTATCTTCTTTTTCTTCTTTTATTTTCTTTTTATTCATTTATTTCATTTATTTTAGGTGTTAATAAATGTTTTTTAGCATCTATTTTAAAACTGAAATAAAACCCCAACTCATCTAAATATCTATAAATACTTATTAGAATTTTTTAAAATTAAATATTTCATCATAAAAATTAATTTTACATATATTTATATTTTTTTAAAATATATTTAAAAACATATTTGTAAGATTAATCACACTACTATATTAGCTTTATGTATGCAATAAATTTATTAATATTAAAAATATAAAAATATAAAAATAAATAATAAAAGAAAGAAATGTATAATTACAAATAATTTTTATTAGTAACTAATTCTTTTTTGTTTATTTGCTTTGATTTATTAAATTCAAGATTATATGCTAATATTTTCAAAGGACAATGGGACCATGATATTTTAATAAGTCTAATTGTCACAGTTAGAACTTGAATTTTCTTGTTAATAATAATGTTTTTTTTTGGATATATTTAATAATAATTTATTTTTTAAAATTTATTTTTTTATTTTTGAAATATTTTTTAAAATATTAATATATCAACTTAAATAAATATTAGAATTTAGTATATAAAAATGGATTTTATTAATATAAATATAAATAAAACTTTGAAAAGACAATTTACTCACACATGATTAAAAAAAAAAGAAAAAGAAAAAAAGAAATGCATATGAAATGTAGAAGTATTAGAATAACTATTGTTAATATAAGAAAAACAATTAATCTTAAACTATGACTATAATAATAGAAAATTATTGACAAGATTGAAAATAAATTTAAATTTAAAATATCTTTTTTGTATTATAACAATTACTAAAAGAAAAAAAAAGATTATTTTAGAATGATAAATTTAATTTAATTTGATTTAATATATATATATATATATATATATATATAGCTATTTATTTAATCTATAAATTTTAAATATTTTATAGATGCAAATGATAGAAAAGAAATATTTGAAATGATTAGTAATTTTAATTAGCTAATATTATAAAATTCTAAACAAGAAATTTATTTTGAAGAAATTTAAAATATTAAATTATTTAAATTTTCAAACAACTACAAATGAGATTTTCAAAAAAGAATTGGATTTATATTTTATATTGTTAATAATATTCTTTTACAAAAAAATTTGCTATTCTTTATTTTGGATTTAATGAATGTTGTCAATAAAAAGTATTAACCTTCTTTATTGTGTTTTCAAGATTCTTGGCTAGCTCTTATGTGTATTAATTAATATCATATTTGCGCCAATGAATAAGGTATTCCAACCTATTTTGGTACTACCTTGAGTGTAAAACTTCTTTTACATCAAATTCTTGATTATTATCTTTTTTTATAGGAGGCAATGTTGTGATGTAATACAGCTAATAAATGAAGGTGAAGAAAATATTATATTATAGAAGATCTTATTTTGAAATATTAGAGCAAATTATCTTAGAAATATAGATAGTAGTAAAAAAGATAGTAAAACTAAAGGATGCTAATGATGTCTTTTTGCAAAATAGGCTTCTACTTACTTTGTAGGATCATAAACATGGCAAAAGAAAGTAGATTGAAAAATTAAATAATATAGGCATGTATAGGAGGAAATTAAAAGTAGAATTTAGCAAAATTTACTTCAAAAAGCCAAGAATTGATATCCAAAGAAGACTAGTTGTCAAAGACATGAACCTCGAGGGAAGAAAATCCTTAATACACTCTTGTATCACTGAAAGGAACTAAAAAGTCACTCAAAGATGATATGATATTGAACTAGAATGGCTATTGCCAAAAATAAAAAGTCTAGAAAGTCTTGGAACAAGAGTCAGGTCTACAAAGGCATTGACAAGAATGAAGAAGGCTTCACTCTTGCCTCTATATATACTCTCTAAGTGGGAACTACATGGCGATATTCTATAGGACCTCCAACATGTATTGACTTTGCTAGCTACAAGTCTTAACTTGCAAGGCAATTTATGTATGTATGCGCCACATAGTTAGTTTGTTTCACAAGCTACTATACAAAATTCACTTATTCTACAAGCTACCAACATGTGATGAACGTGTTGGCCAAGTTTCTAACCTACAAACACATTTAAAGTTAAAACTGCATCTATAAAGCTTCTAGGAAGCTTTTTTAGAAGACTTTATGAAATTAATCTATACTTCACTACTTCTATCTAATCATATAAGCAACTATTGGAATTTATGTATATGTCCGTGATACTAGTTATCAACTTGGATCAAAATCAAACCATGATGCACAAAATTGCACATCTATGGTGGCTCTAGAATTCTTGGATAGATTGGAGAGTGGAACTTAAGAATAAACTTGAAAGGAGGTTTTTAGGTATTAGTTTTATGTCAATTGAGTCAATATTGAATTTTGGAGGATTTTTCAAAGTTGATCATATTTTTAACTGATTTAGATTTTGAAAAATAAAATATGTCTACAAATTTGAAGATTTCTTAGTCTGTGTATAGATGAATTTTGGATAATGTGTTGGTGTATTAGTTATAAATGTGTGTAAAATTTTTGAGGTGAATCAAATAGTTAAATCAAAGTGTGTAAAGATTATTATAGGCTGA